GCAATCGGCTATTTATAAGATTGGCTTTTCTTACTGAGAAGTGCACTTAAGGGAGCTCGACTGTGGTGTGATAATTGAATCCGCTTGAAAGTGTTGGGGCAGAAAACCACTTTTGACTCATGATCCGCGCGACGGGAGCACGACTTGGGAATGAGCCAGTGACTGGGACAAAACTGCTCCGCAAGTACTTGTGAGTCATGCCCCATTGCACAGGGGACCAGGGGAGGGTGGAGGCAGCAAGGAGGGGCTGCAGTAAATGCAATTTAAATGCCCATTAGGCGCATGAGTTTTATGTTGCCATCTAATGAGACGCAAATGCGGTGAGATGCCTGGGAAAGTGGCCGTTTCAGGTGAAAGGAGTGCGGAGGCTTGCAAACAAGACCTTTTGCAGATCGAAAGCCCTATTCAAACTGTTTTCTAATTCTGAATTCTATTGCAAAAAAAATTATTACATTTCAAATGTATGTAATATACATATAAGTGTGTGTCTCACGCGTTTAATCATATTACACTTACTATGCTCGATTCATATTTTTAAAGCTGCGTGAGCTGTATTTATTTATTAATTAAAATTTCAACCGCTTTCAAGATAAAAAAAAAATATGTTATCTCCTATTCAGAAAACATAATTCTCGCAATATTATATTCCCAAAAGTAAAGATTACTCAACGGCCTTCACTTACGTATTGAAGGTCTTCTGGTAGTCCTTGATCTGGTTACGGGAGAACTCGGGGAAGTCGGTGTAGACGTTGACCACCTTGTAGGTGCGTCGCACCTCGATGCCCGCCTCCTGGGACTCCATAATCTCCTGGCGCCGATTGAGTATGTGCGTCAGCTCGGAGCTGTCCGTGTTGGTGGTGCTGCTGGGGCTGTCCACGCTGTCCTTGTTGGAGGCGGAGGAGGCGTTCGAGGAAACGGACATTGTGTCGAACCTTGTTTACTCGCTTTAATGTGCTGGAATTTGCCTGCCCTTTTCTGCTGCCTTTTCTCTCTCTCTCTTCCTTTTTGGCACACCCACGCAAAAAGGACCGTAAAAGAGACGTCGGGATACACACACAAATACGGCGACGCGCCAGGAAAACACACGGATTCGTTGCACGTAAGCTTTGGCGTGAGGCGTGGCCCTGAGTCGTTTTTGTTCTTGGAAAAAACAGTTGCAGGATGCGTTTGAAATGCCGGTTTTTTTTCTGCTGCAGGTTGGCTTTCTTATTGGACACCGAATGTTCACCTTAACCGCCGCGACTTCCGAATCTTCTGAACGCTGAGAGACGAATAGTGCGACCGTGACACGAGCGTTCAAATATACCAGCGGGCGCGGCGACTTTTTGGGTGTGACCGTGCTCGGTAAAAAAATACCCAACTCAGCTGAATTTTGAAGCGATAGGTAAATGTAAATATCGAAATACTAATATGATTTAAATTTCAGATATTGAAATACCTTATAGTTATATAGGTAGCGGTTTCAATGAATAAATTCTTTTAATAATTTTGTATATTAAACATTATTTCCATGGAGCAGATGAACAATCGATTTTTATTTTCAAGCTGGTATTTCTTAACCGAAATGTGGGTATATATTTTGTATTTGTATATGAATATGGTGATATGAGCATTGAACTTTATAGATTTTGGAGGTGTTCAAATTTCAATATTAAAATGTATTACGAGTATAAATTTAATTATTAAAAGATTTGAGGTATACAGACAACCCTAAACTATCGGGCAAAGGTCCATCCCCTGGTGTGCCCGCATTTTTTATAGCAATTTAGCAAAATTTTGTAGCAAATTGTTCCGACTGTGATTGTAATTCGTAATTGTTCAATAAAAAATGGGCAGTAAATTGTTTAACAAACTTTTGCTGATTGCCGGATTTGCCAGCCTGGCGCACGCTGCATTTTCTGCTGCCCATCGTAAGTTTCCGTCAATGTAGTGCTCAATAAACTTTGCCCCATTAAGTGCCGCATTTACATACTCCACAGATCGCACCTATTTGAGGCTAACGGAGCAGGAATGGACTAGCCTGCCATTGGATGTGAGTTTCAGAGGCATTCAGGGTGTTACCATGGTTACTCACGAGAGGTTTCCCTTTGACAATCCTTAGATTATTCTGCAGACCGTCATCAGCTTGGTGATTGTGATTTACAACATTATCGAAGTGGTTGGCAACTTTAAGGAGATCCGTGCCACCGTGGACATGCAACAGAAAACTTGGGACACCTTGGGCAACTTCCCCTCGTTTTATTCGTTTAATCACCGTGGTCGTGCCTTGAATCCTGGCTATACGCCCCCGGAATAAGAGGCCTTCCTTTTAAGTTCTGCTATCATTTTATTTTTAGTCTCTGCAAGTTACAATATAGATAACGCTAAAGATCAAGAAATTACCAGGCTCTCATTAGGGATATTGCAACATAAATCAACTTTAGGAACTTGATTTCATTCAGGTTCTATCTCAATTCAAAATATAGATAGCGCTTGGCAACAACCAAATTCCGTAACCCAAATTTGCAAATTTGATAGATATTGCGGAACTCTTGCTTTGGAACATGGACAGTGCCTTGGTCTCCAGCTCATAAGCAGCTCTTAACTCCTGGCCAGGACTATTATTGCATGCCTGACTATGACATGTGCGACAACTGTCGAGGTGGTTACTTCTTAAGAGGCATTCATAGTATAACTCGGAATTGGAACGACATCCTCTTACAATTTCTTTACTGTTGATGTCAAAATACTCCAAGCAGGCCAATTCTTGATTCTCTGGCTCATTCGCTGGAAGCGGACAAGGCAAAGCAGTTTGTCCCCTGGAGATCTCCTCACAGTCCTGCACTCCCCTACACTGATGACACCAAAGACGCTTCTCCGGAAATGATCCTTTGTTGCAGAAACTTCCTTCGCATGGTCGGCAGCTGGCCACATTTGCGGAAGTACAGCTGAAGTCCGATGTTTGGCAACCTCTCGCAGTGGTGCCGTTGTTATAGGAAACCACCACACATGGTGCACCTGGCTCAGCGCATTCTTCGATGTATATCTCGCCTGGTCTTTCCCAATTTGCACAGCCTGCTCCCGCTAGATCTGTGCTGCATTGATAGCACCGGGTGAAATCTTTACTATTACACCCAGTGCCTTCATCGCATTCATAGCACTTAGTGATTTGAGGATTTGTCGGCGGTGCTCCACAACCTCGTTGAATACTCCAGTTTGAGTACTCACAGGAGAAACAGGAAGAAGCTTCAGCGGAGCTACAAGTGCTATTAGATATAGCTGTAATATTTGTCCGGCAAAGTTTCTGATCCACGGAGTTGCATGTTAAACACTTCTGCTGCGTAATGCAGCCTGCGTTGCAATGGTCACCAACTCTACACTTTTCAAACTGCTCTACATACGGCTCGAGATCTGAGGGCATTTTAGTAGAGCAGCCTCTCACCACGCGGCTTAATCTTCGAAAGCTAAAGCAGTACTTGTCCTCCTGCTCACCCAAAAGAACATCCTGCTGGCATTCTTCGTATAGGCTCACATTGCACCTGCTGTTGCTGACCTGAAAGAGATCTATCTTGCAGCCCCTGCCGATTACAGAATCGCAGCTGGCGCAGACTTGGATCCAAGCTCCTTGGTCTTCATTGCAGCCATTGATGTCACACAGTTTGGCGGCAATGGACAGCGTGTGATTCTGCTCGGAGGCACAGCCCCTGTACGCATCTGAAGAACTTATAACATCCGTGTAGCACTGATCCTCTTCGAAATGATAGCGACAGGGTTTTGGTTTAGCTGCTGGAGCCGCCACGCATTCCTGTCCAGCGCAATGATGACACTTTAGTCGTCCAGGCGGATAGACACCCGCATTGCACAGGTTTGATGAGCAAGTCTTTGAGTACGCTGCTCCTGTGATGGGGGTTTCTGCTCCACAGCCGCGGTATGTGATGGAGTCCACTAGTTTTTGTGTGATTTATGGTATTAAAAGATCTGATTTACTAAATATTTCAAGTAATTTTTATGTATCGGTAAGCCCTCCTTAAGTGTGGGTTTGGAAACAATGAATGAACTAAACATTTAAAAATTAATTAAATGCAAAAATAGATTCTATAAAATTGCTGACTATCCCTCTATTTAGAATCAATGACATATCACATTTAGGTGCACTTACCAATGGACATGGCACACGTCAGCTCGGTAGTGCACTCCTTGTAGGGAAGAACTCCCACTTCTCCGAGGGTCTGGGAACATTCCGGCAGGGCCATGGAATCGCAGTGGTAACAAACAATGGCAAAAGAACGGCCTGTTATTAAAAAACCCATTCAATAGTAAACATTTTTCCGTGGGAAATTGCGGATATCTCACTTCTCAGGAGGATCAGAAGCAGGAGGAACAGGCGTTGGAAGTTTGAGGGGCGATTCATCTTCAGTCCATGCATTTTGACAGCTCATAAAGAATGTTTGCCAAAAAGTGCACCTTTGTTTGAAAAATTGGAACCCTAATCTGTTTATGACTTATCAATAATTAGTTGATATAGCTGAACTGATAATGATAAGCTAGAAAAAGCTTAACTCGCTAAATGAGTTCTTAAAATGGGCCCATGAAAACCTTACATGAGTAGAAATGTTGATATTATTATTATTTAATAGCTTAAAACAAGGATTTCCTGATGTCCTAATGAATCTAATGAAACCTTTCATAGTGAGTTTGATGGTTTCCACAAGTTAATTCCGGCATATGCATAATGGCCAAAAATGTCATAACCATAATGTGCTCTGTGCTTCGACCCCATTATCGGAGTGTCCCATAGGTTCCATCGAAAGGTTCACATCATCAATAATTCAGGGGCTCGCATTTGTTGCGGGAAAGTCTGGAGCTACTCAAAAGTGTGGGTCAAGGGTCCCGCGACCGCCCCAACGTATCGATTTAATTTAGAGACCGGATAATTGCGTGACAATCAGGGGATTCGAGTACACATACCACATGTCCAGGCGTTTTAATGACCAACGACCTCAGTTGCCAGCTAAACAGACACGGGACAGGTCGGAAATAACAAACTCATCGGTGGCCAGCACGGAGCAAATATTCTTGTTTGCAGAGCTCTTCAAAACGGGGATAAACCGATAACAAAAGATACAGACCTGATAAGCACATCCACGCTGCGGGTTCACTTGAAGATTTATTCCCCATCCGAGTCATACGCTCTGCGAAGCTACAACCGATCGGTGGCCACAATGCGGATGAGACTGCTGGTCATTTGGATTTCCCTAACTGCTCTGCTTGAATGGAGCAGGGCGCAGGAGGACAATATTGAAGAAGTCAGCTTAAGCGGCGGTCTAGCAAGTGAAAACTCAGATAACCAAGCAGATCAGGTACCGGGAATGGAAACTAGTGAAAATGACACAGAATCCTTAGGACACAGCCAGCTTTTTTTTAACACAACGCAAAGCCCAACTGATGACCACGAGCCTGGGGACGCTAGTTCGGGTACACAGGAAATTCCACCTAATGGAAGCCAAGTAGGGCAAATAGGCCACCAGTCAGGAGAGGATGAGAAGGAACCGGAAGTTACAAGTGTGGGCAGTAATTCGGAAACGGATCACAAATTAGAAGGGGACATGGAAGAGCCAGAAGGGGATGGCGGGAATTCTGGTGTCTCTACCCCAATTAAAGATCCTCAAACCGCTCATTCAGATCATTCGCCTACGGAAACTCCGGAATCATCTTCAGAAGTGACGGCCGATACTCGCCCACCAACTCTACCAGAGAGCAGCTTGGAGTCCCAAACCACGAACAAAACTGAAGAACCATCACCCGATTACCCGGCTGATGGGCCCCAAGCGGACACCACACCGTCACCTCCACCCCCAGACGAAACCACCTTGGCACCACACAAGCCCCCAGTTCCAGACCCAGAACAAAAACCTCTGAGCTGCTACTCCTGCATGTTCTGCAACAAAACGATCACCAACGAAACCAAGTCCCTCTGCGGGCCGATACCCGGAAAAAGGAATGGATGTCGCACCATACTTCTCGTTGATCCCAATGTTGTTCCGGGGAAAAAGTATTTCCTGCATCGGGGCTGTGTATCCGAATTAGATATGGAGCTCTCTCGTTATTGCGTTGACAATGAGAAGTTGTGCCCCACGTGCTACGAGGACAATTGTAATGTTCACAATATGACAGAATATGAAGTCTCTGCAGCAGTCACCCATCATCTGGAGGTTCCAGTGCTCATCTGGGGCATATGTTTGCTTAGCTGGCAGGTGGCTTATTAACCAGCCGCTATGTTCTGAGTCATCACAATTAAAATGTAAATGGAGATTGAGGTACTTAAAAATCGATAGGCATGTCTGTCTAGACAAATTAGTTTTATCTATGGAATACATAAGCTTAATTACAATGAATTTCTGTGTACAGATTTGAATATCTTTGCAGCGGAAAACGCATGGGGATTTTCTCTTTCTTAAATAGTAAAATATATTTTACCTAATATGAAAATGTATATATAAAATAAAGTATTCAAAGTTCGAAACAGTATATTGAGTTATTTGTATTTGTAAAAAACGCAAGGATATCGACAACATAACTAGTACTTATATTACTTGGATAATTATTGTTCGAGCCATTAAGTGTTCAGCAGCCATTTAATGGAACAGGGATACTGGGATTGGGTTTTTAATTTGGTCCCTTGAGACCATTTCCAGAAACCACATCATTTAAACCATATAAAATGGCTCAACAAAACCTAGATGCAGTTAGCCAGGTCATCGAAGCGTGTCTATAAGCACGGCACAGCAGAGCCACAGTTGAAACTAAGAAACTAAATGCATTTTTGCTTAATGGATATGCTTTCCAAGAATATTATTTTATTTACTGTTCTATCATGCTTTGAAGTTCAGGGAGTGCACCAGGTGCAACCAAGTGAAGTGTACACTATGAGCCCAGCAGAGCCCACTAGAATGGAGGAAGCTTCGGCACCAGTCGCGGAAACAACAACTGTTTTTCCGCCAATAAGTTGCCTTAGTTGCAGATACTGCTCTATCAATGAGGGTAAAACAAGAACCAAAAAGGGTAAAAAGATGTGCACCACAAAATTGGGCGAAGTGAACGGTTGCGTATCTATGTTCTTCTACTTTCCCAACCGCCCTGGAGGACCAGATGGCTATATTGAGAGAAGTTGCATTTCCGACATGGACGAAAGTGCGCTGGTACACTGTAAGAAACATCAAAAACTCTGCGAAAAGTGTTTCGTTGATGATTGCAACTATGTGGAAATAGATCGAAATGGATTAGTGACGAATGCAGCTTCGCGAATAATATGCTCAAGTCTAATGATCTTCTGTTTAACCGGATGGCTCTATAGGAGTAAAAAATGCACCCTCGGTTTATTATAAGCCTATTCAACCTAATAATGGATATCAATGTTAAACATGTTAAACCTACATTTTGTAATTCGGCGATCTCGCCATGCTGACTACAATTAATAATGAGTTTACCTGAGAATGCCAATTTTCTTGGAAAACTTTCTGCGACATTACCAAATTGCTCTGCTTGGCGTATTCTTTATTGCACCTTAACCACTTACCTGTCATTTTTATAGTTGCAATAAATGTATACATATACACGTATGTATATACAAAGTATATTATTAATTGTATTGCGGTTGATAAGCCTTATTATTTGTTTATGTATTTGGCAGCCGTTTTGATAAGCATTTTGAAACCTTTTCTACTAGCCATCAAAGAAATCATAAGCAAAACCATCCATAAACAGCATTACAATGAAACATTGTTTTATTGAGATGATTTGTTTTGGATTATACAAGTAATCTTAAAGTGCTTCAGCTCCTATAATCAGGTTACGTCTTTTAATCTGTTGCTTTGTAAGTTTGCTTTACAGTACTCATAGATCTAATTTGATTAGATCAGCCAACTAAATGTAGCTGGCAGGATTATAGGGCACTGCGTAGTGCGATCACAAGGCCCATCAGCAGACCGACCACGCCCACCTGCCTGAGTGAGCCTGGTCCATTGAAGGCATCCTTGTTGCAGCTGCACTCCGTTCACGTAACGTATTGGTGGGCCTCCACTTTGGCATCGCACTGGTACTGCATCGGTTGGCTAGCAGAGCTAAAACATCCTCGTACTCCAAGCTCATCTAGGGGAGGATGTTGAAAGGTAATCATTAGTATTTTCGTGGGCATAATATTAATATAATTTGGGAGTACGCCTATACATTTCAAAATAAATTCTTTGAGAACTATAGCATTGACTCGCTGTGCTTACCAACTTACTCCAGACTCCGCTGAAGCACGTTCCATTGGGGCAGTTGACCACAGGGTCATTCAACTGATTAATGCACCTCTGGCCAATTGTATACCGTATCCGTCACGTTGCTCGTGGTACACTCGTGGAACCAAAGCACTCCTGGCACACCACATTCGCGTTGCAATTGTCTGTTGTGCAGGACGAGCAGGATGCTAAGCTGCACACACAGCCTCGAGTTAAAGTTCCTTTTGAAATAGAGAAAATCAATCACTGAATGCCAAGGGAAAATGGTTCATATGAATCCTAATATGAACTATTCCTGGTATAAACGACGAGATTTCGCGAATTAAAAAAGCTACGCTGAGCAAGAGTATCAGGCGAATGAGTCACTACGTCATAAGCCTTTTCGTTCCGCACGAAATAGGAAAAGATCCTTGAGATCAAGAAATTGATCCTTGATTAGCTGTCAATAGCTAACAGAGATAATCGCTTATCACTTTTGCCTGCACTGATCGATAACAGGGCCACTACCCTTGTCTAAGAATATTAAATAGTCGCTCATGAGTCATACAAACTCACCTGAGCTAATAAGGGTATAGCACTCATTATCGCAGGATGTTGTCTCCTGAGTTAATGGACTCGTTAAACAGTTTCCAGACTCATTTGTCGTTTACTTGCACGAATAGCATTCTGCAATAGCAATGATGTATTCAATTATTTAAATTATTTAAATAACAAACTACAAAAAAAGGCAACTTACGGAGGGCCAAAGTTCTGTCTTACTTTTTAACTGAAATGTCGGACTGGCTGGATCGACCACCGTTGGTTAACTGGCTTTCTCACTGTTTAACCATATTTCTAACCCCCATTCGCGTAATCACTTTCACCTGAACTTCACCAAGCTCTCCGCATGCAGCGCTTATCTGTTCTACACAGATTATGTATGTATGTGTATATAACCGGAGCCAGTCAGTTCTCTTTTGGCTGATAACTACGATTCCCAGGTGTGATTATAATTGTAGGTGTGTATGTCGCTATTTACATGCGATGATAGTTACCACAGGCCTGCGGTTACTTTAGAGCTTTAGGAAAATAGAAAAAATTAACCCATGCCGTCAAGTTTTTCCATTACTTCATCAAGCTTACTGTTTCCGAGCTCTCCGGTGGAAAATTGAACACAATTATAATAGTAAATACATACTCGTATTTCAATTAAAACAAGCTTCGGCTTGCCCCTGCTGTAATAATATATAAAATGTATAATGCCTCGTTCCGACTTATATACTACCTGCAATAGAAAGAATACTTTTGCGAATTTGTATACTTAAATATGCGTTGCAATCTGAAATCAATATAGCCTCAGCAAGGGTAAAAATATAAAAGTGTGGGCGCAATAGCTTGCGATGCTTAGGCGTCCAGCTTTTACACGTAAAACAACCTTTCTATTGCCCTCTGGGTTGACTTTAGTTCCTTTAATAAACAAAATGTAATTATGATCTAACAAGGGAGAACGTGTCCATTTTCTCTACTGTTGGATACCCAGAATGATAGCCAGATTGACTCAGCTAGTGAAACTGAGCCAGGATTTTTGCAGGGTCGAACCCTTCCTTGTTCAATCAATCTAGTAACCCTTTCACTTTACGAGGAACGGACTTAATTGCATTTGCCTTAGCTACACGTCTTGTATCTTTAGGCTGCTTAAAGATCCAAGCGAGACATTCTTGTATATAATTGTAAACGTTCAAGAATATTTGTTCTGAAATCCATAGTTTCGGTCTTGAATTATTCTTGAACTTAAATTTTCGTTCTTGGATCAAACAAATATGCTCTTACATCGCTTACCTTAGAAATTAATACGATTTTTATATCTACATATATTATTATTATTACTTATTGTATTTATGCGACTTCTCATGAATAAAGATAAAGAGCTCTTTAATGCTACACATGCCGGTGTTCTATGTTATTCAAATCTTATCAAAGTATTCTTAGGGTTTAATTCCAGTCATAATGATGCAATAAAACAAAGTATCCTTGTTTAGTAAGAAAGTAGTTTTATATCTTTAAGGCATATCTTTCAAAGGTTTTTTGTAACCCAGACTGGTTGTCAACACAAAGTCTTTATCTTAACAATATGCTCAAGAAATATAACCGAAATCTAATCTGAGTAATCTGCGGCGAATTTGGCAACGAGAGCCATTCATGTTGCATGCACTCAGTACCTTTAAAATCTTTTTTGTGCGCGGACGTTTTGCTGTTTAAGATCATTTCTGGCACTACGATTTAATAAATTAGTTCGATTGAAATGTTATAAGTGGTTTAAGATTTAAGAACGTCAGTAAAGCAAAGTCGTGAGGAATAAGTGTTGTTTTTTACTTGCTCGTCTACATTCCCCATTCACTGATGCAGATACCTGGTAGAGATATATACCTATTACATCTGATAGTCAGGGAACTTAACAATGGCAATTTGTCCTGTTTTTAACAGGCTTCTAACTATTAATTGATTAGAATATCATTAACCAGATAAGCTGAGCGAGTATTTAGTTCTTAATGCTCGGACTGATTCACTTGTATCCTATTTGTTATATAGCGAAACATAAAATAGATACCTGGTAGAGATATATACCAGTTACTTCTGATAGTCAGGGAACTTAACAATGGCAATTCGCCCTGTTTTTAAAAAGCTGCTATATAGCTAATTATTAATTGATTAGAACATTATTAACCAGAATAGCTGAGCGTGAATTTAGTTCTTAATGATCGGATTGATTCACTTGTATCCTATTTGTTATATAGCGAAACATAAAATAGTCATAGCCGGTTTGTAAAATGCAGTCCTTTAAGAATGAAGATCTCCCCCAGAATCCTCGAGAACGATCGAATATATTTTCTGCGTTATCCTTTTGGTAAGAGAGTGCGTACGTGTAGCATCCAAATAATTTTAAAGTGTTTACATTTGTTTAAATAATCAGGTATACCATTCCCACATTTATTAAGGGGAGAAAGGTCACATTGGGTGCGAAGGACCTTTACAGGGCCTTGAAAGAGCATAGAGCCGGTGAGTGTTTTCAGATTTAAGCAACAATATTAATATATACAATATATATATCCTTTATTGAAAAGAGACGCTGGGCAACAAATTATGCACATCCTGGCAGAAGGAACTGGAGACCTACGGGAAAAATGCCAGTTTGCTAAGGATTCTCTTTCGTGTATTCGGCCAGTACTTCGTCCTCCTCGGAGTGCTTCTCCTCTTCCTGGAGGCTCTTCTAACGGTGCAGCCCATGTTTCTTATGGAGCTTATATCTAGCTTTTCCCATTCTAGCCCGATATCCAATGGAATGGCATATGCCCACGCGGGCGGAGTGATTTTGGGCTCTGCCCTAAAAGGGCTCCTTATGCACCCGTTCTCATTCGCCGTCACTCACCTGGGTATGTTCCTTAGCTTAGTTGCACTAAGCTTAGGGAAAATGATCTTCTCTATCTATAAACTGCAGGCCTTAAGATTCGAGTGGGTGTAAGCAGCATGATCTACCGGAAAGGCCTTCGATTGACCAAAACAGACCTGGGCGAAATATCTACCGGACATATAATCAACCTAATTTCCAATGACCTCGGCAGAATGGACACCTTCATTCAGTTTACTCACTATCTTTGGTTGGCCCCACTGCAAACTCTATTGGTGACCTATTTTATGTACCAAGAAGTGAGTTCCGAGAATATCATACCGGTTAATAATTTAAACTTCTAATTTGTTCATAGATTGGCATCGCTGCCGTGTTTGGCATGGCCGTCATGCTGCTCTTCATACCCTTCCAAATGTATTTGGGCAACAAGATTTCGAGGCTGCGTCTGAAGACCGCTCTCCGGACGGACAAACGGATGCGGATAATGACTGAGATCATTGCTGGCATCCAGGTAATTAAAATGTACGCTTGGGAGCTTCCATTCGAGAAAATGGTGGCCCATGCCCGCCACAAGGAGATCAATGCCATCCGGCACGTGACCTTTGCGAAATGCCTCCTCTTGTCCTTCAACAGATTCCTCACGCCAGTATCCATTTTTCTCAGTTTGGTAGGATTTGTGCTTTTGGGCAGGTTCCTCACAGCGGAAGTGGCTTTCCTCATCACAGCCTACTACAATGTTGTACGCACCAACATGACCTCATATTTTTCATTGGGCATGACGCAAACTGCAGAAACCCTCGTTTCCATCAAGCGGGTTCAGACGTTTTTACTGTCCGGAGAGGTGGAAGCTCCTGGTAAAAAGGTAGTTTCCAACGGGGCTGAGGAAATTTTAGAAGGGGCTAGCGAAAAACTCCTAGAGAAGCCCAGACCAATAGGTACTCCCGAGACACCCCAACACCATTCCGAAGATCGCGTAGCCATAAGTGAACTTAAAGCCAAGTGGGTCACGAACTCACCAGATTATACGCTTAGTGGGCTTAATCTGCAGGTCCCCGCTGGTACGTTGCTCGCCATTGTGGGTCACACTGGCTCCGGAAAATCCAGTCTGATACAAGCCATTCTGGGGGAACTGCGTGTCGAATCTGGAGAGATCGAGGTTACTGGATCGATGTCATACGCCTCCCAAGAGCCGTGGCTTTTTTCGGGAACAGTGCGTCAGAATATTCTCTTTGGCCAGCCAATGGATCGCCGGCGATACGATTTGGTGGTGAGGAAATGCGCTTTGGAACGAGACTTGGATCTACTTCCCTTGAAGGATAAAACCATATTGGGAGACCGCGGAGCCTCGCTCTCGGGTGGCCAAAAGGCGAGAATCAGCTTGGCAAGATCTGTTTACCGGGATGCCTCCATCTACCTGCTGGATGATCCTCTGAGTGCGGTGGACTCCAATGTGGCCCGTCGTCTCTTCGAAGGCTGCTTACGTGGCTATCTGCGAGACAAGATTGTCATCCTGGTCACCAACCAGCTGCAGTTCCTGCAGCAGGCCGACCAGATTGTGATCATGGAGAAGGGCCAGGTGAGTGCTGTGGGAACGTATGAGTCGCTTCAAAAATCGGGTGTAGACTTTGGCAATGTGCTGGAAGATCCTGTTAATCGCAATGAGCCGGCGGAGGACCGATCAATAATCTCCAGCATGAATGACCAACGGCGCAGCAGTGTGAAATCCGTGCTCTCCAATGCGGAATCCTGCCCAGACGATCTGCAGGAGGAACAAATGAATAACCTTGAGCCCCAGGATATGGGTCGGAGTGGACTAGAAGTATACGTCGATTATTTTAGGGCAGGAGGCGGATTCCTATCCTTTTTTGTGATAATGAGCTTTTTCGTGTGCTCCCAGGGCCTAGCCTCTCTTGGAGATTACTTTCTGAAGCCTTGGTAAGGAGTTGTTTACTTGGACACTTTTGAAATCGTTTATGTAATATTCGTAAATCTTATGCCTTTAGGGTCTCAGGAAATGAGAACATGGTTGCTCATAACGACACAACATATACTAAGGATGAGGATATCGAAGTGCACGCTGCATATATGTTTATGTTGATTACAGTGCTCTCCATTCTTGTGACCATAAAACGATCCTTTATGTTCTTCAACTTGGCGATGAAGGCCTCGACCCATTTGCATAACTCAATGTTTCGGGGGATCTCCAGAGCCCCCATGTATTTTTTCAACAAGAACCCTGCGGGGGGTATCCTTAATCGCTTCTCCAAGGACATGGGTCAAGTGGATGAGGTGCTGCCCTCCATAATGATGACCGTCATCCAAGACTTTCTCCTGATTAGCGGCAATATTATTGTCATATCCATTGTCAATCCCCTCTTTCTCATACCCGCCCTGGCTTTTGGCGTAGTTATATACTACCTCCGATCTTTTTATCTCAAAACTTCGCGGGCCGTAAAACGCTTGGAGGCCAGTAGTAAGTACTTATTAACTAATTACCACTTGGATACAGCTTTCGCACCTTTTGACAGCTCGATCTCCGGTTTACTCACATTTTGCTGCTTCTCTGACTGGTCTTACCACCATTCGTGCCTTTGGGGCTGGGAGCATTTTGGAGGCGGAATTTGATAGTTACCAAGATATGCACAGCTCCGCCTCCTACATGTTCATTAGCACCTCGCGAGCCTTCGCCTATTGGATAGATATGTTCTGTGTGCTCTATATAGCGATTGTCACGCTGGCCTTCTTCATCTTTCCGCCGTCCAGTGCAGCCGGTGTGGGTCTGGCCATAACTCAGGTAGCGATCGGTAGCACATTGTGTCTTTTTAATACTAAATGCATATTTTCCAGGCCATGGGCTTGACGAGCACGGTTCAGTGGACTGTCCGCCAGTCGACAGAGTTGGAGAACACAATGATTTCTGTGGAGCGGCTGATTGATTACGAAGAAATTGAGCCAGAGGGCGCACTGGAAGCCCCGACTGACGGGAAAGCAACCGAGTCTTGGCCAGAGCACGGGAAAATAGAATTTGACGACCTGAGTCTGCGTTACGAGCCCAATCTGAAAACAGAAAGCGTTCTAAAATCGCTCAGTTTTGTAATTAAGCCCAGGGAAAAAGTTGGCATCGTGGGACGAACAGGTGCGGGAAAATCCTCGCTGATCAACGCTCTTTTCCGCCTGTCCTACAACGATGGATCTGTGCTAGTAGACGATAAGGACACCAGCGATATGGGTCTGCATGACCTTCGCAGCAAGATCTCAATCATACCCCAGGAACCAGTCCTGTTCTCCGGCACAGTGCGGCACAACTTGGATCCCTTTGATGAGTATGGCGATGAAAGACTGTGGTGCGCGCTGGAGCAGGTGGAACTCAAGGATGTTGTGGCCAATGCGGACACTGGCCTAGAGACGAAAATCTCCGAAGGTGGCTCAAACTTTAGCGTGGGTCAGCGCCAATTGATCTGCTTGGCACGGGCTATTCTGCGGGACAACAGAATACTTGTGATGGACGAGGCCACCGCCAATGTGGATCCCCAGACGGACGCCCTAATCCAAGCCACCATCCGAAACAAGTTCAGGGAGTGCACCGTCCTTACCATAGCCCATAGATTGCACACCATCATGGACTCGGACAGGGTACTGGTGATGGATGCCGGAAGAGTTGTGGAATTTGGTACGCCCTTTGAGCTCCTAACTGCGGAAGACACTAATGTCTTCCACGACTTGGTCAAGCAGATGGGGCAGGCCACCTACGACACTCTCCTGAAGATTTCTCAACGGGTAAGAGTATTCGTCTGTAAAGTATTCATATATATTTATAAAATATCCATTTCAGGCCTTCGAAAATTCTGACAAACCCAGCCTCATGCTTCCATCTTGACGAGCCGAAAGTGCTTATAAATAATCAATACTATATGTTGCCAATTTAATCCATTTAAGTTTTTAAACTTTCAGTTAAGAACATGATTATTTTCATAAAATACCATAAAGCATATATTTTGGAAAAATATTAACAAAATCCCTATTATTTTGCTCCTAGCTGCAATATTAGAATATATTAGAGAAATTTTATTGATTAGATATGTATGTACATATGTTATACATATATGTGTTATCACATCTGACAGGCGCGATAAGTAAAAGTGAAGTACTTGCAGACTTAATGAGGTTTTCCTCATTTAATAATATGATGAAAAAGATGTCTACGGAATTTCCGATTGTGGTGGGACAAGGGCAATAATTTTAAAGTGAACATAATTTATTATGCTGAACTACAAGAGAATGGTTAAAATGTATTGTTGTTATCCATATTGTATTGTAGTTATCTTTTAACTAAAAGTCGAAGCCTTTGTCATATTATATTATTAAAATTCCTAGATATTAGTACTAAGTATCAAACCTACATTGAGGTCGATATATGAAAAGATAACTAAACAATATAATTGCACTTTATTACAATTCTAATGTTTTATCGGTGGGAATGTATAGTTTGTATGTTACACAATTTATTACGGTGGGTTTCACATAATATTAAATATATTAATATTAAAACACTATTAGTTATTAGTAAAAATATGATACATTTAATTGCGTTTATAAATGTACTAAATTACATTAATACTACAATATTTGTAATAGCACAGGACAGTGTAAAAGGGCTATGATAGGATGGGAAATAAATTAGAAAGCCTTTATCTTATCTTTGAGTGGTCCACTCTAATGCTCTGAAGGCTGAAGTGACCATGTAAGTAAATATACATATGTATGTCAAATGTGTGTAACCGAATCGGCGCGCTTTGGCACACACACACACGCAAGGCCCCGGCGTCAGCCGGTCGAACAGCTGATTCGATTTGGCATCGAAGCGCTTGCTACTCGCGACCATTGGACAGAATGATTGGAAAAGCGGGGCGTCGTGGACGGCTCAAGTGATTTGTTGTGTTTTGCGATTCGGCGATTCGGCTGAGTGGAAAGTTTTCCACTGTGAATTGTTATCATATTGTGAAATTGTGATCCAGCATCTGTCGATATTTGATGAATTCTTGTTCTGTGCTGCTGAATACATACGTTGCATTCCTTCGAGTGATGAAATGCTGATAACTACGAACTGAATTCCGCGCTTTTTGTTTATGAGAGCGAGTGCTTGTGAAATTGGCTGCACATTTACATAATCATGCAGGCCAGTAAACTTCCGCCCAATCCCCGCGAGTCGGCAGGTATCTTATCCTCGCTTATGTTCTGGTACGCACACGTTACATCCTACCGCTAAGAAGTGTTTCCTTTGAGCACATACATAGGTACATATGTACATATGTACTCACCTATGTGCATACCTTTCTACTGCCGCTGAGAAGTGACATCCGAAGACAACCGTTATCGGATACTACATATTGTTCGTAGCATAACTCCCAATTACCTATCGTTGCGAAATCAATTTACACAGTTACTCTCCTATTCCAGCTTTGCCCTGCCCATCCTGTTCAAGGGTCGCAAACAGACGCTTCAGCCCACGGATCTGTACAAAAGACTGGATGAGCATGGAGCAGAGAGCCTGGGCGATGAGTTCTTCCATGCATGGGAGGACGAGGTGGCACGGTGTCGGCGAAAGGGTGATTCCTGCCGTGAACCAAGTGTCCTGCGGGTCATCGGACGCGTCTTCGGCTGGCGGCTCATATTATCCGGTATTACAATCGCCGCCTTAGAACTAGGAACCAGGTGAGAACCGTGGACTTTATCTGTCAACATGTCACTGATAATTTATACGGATTAATTTGCTATATTACAGGGCCACAGTGCCGCTTCTTCTGGCCGGACTCATATCGGAGTTCAGTGAGCACGGAAATGGCCATAGTCACCATGCCCAGATCTACGCTGTGCTCCTTATAGCCTGTATCTTGGCCAGCGTTCTTCTCACGCACCCATACATGATGGGAATGATGGTAAGATCTCTAACGTTATGCTTAAGTAAAATTGAATCTAATTTTGTTCTTTTTGTTCTTTTGTTTATTGCAGCACTTGGCCATGAAAATGCGGGTGGCAGTAAGTAGCGCCATATACCGAAAGGCCCTGCGCCTCAGTCGCACATCCCAGGGGGGTACCACAACCGGTCAGGTGGTTAACTTGCTCTCCAACGATCTGAACCGCTTCGACCGATGTCTTATCCATTTCCATTTCCTGTGGCTGGGCCCATTGGAGCTGCTGATCGCCTCCTACTTCCTGTATGAACAGATCGGAATGGCTTCCTTCTACGGAATCAGCATCCTAGTACTCTATTTACCACTGCAAACCTATCTAAGTCGAGTAACTTCAAAGCTACGCCTGCAGACGGCCCTACGGACGGATCAACGAGTGCGCATGATGAACGAAATCATCTCGGGCATCCAGGTAATCAAGATGTATACCTGGGAGCGTCCATTTGGGAAACTGATAGGCCAGATGCGGCGCAGCGAGATGAGCTCCATTCGCCAGATGAACCTCTTGCGCGGCATCCTGCTCTCCTTCGAGATAACCCTGGGTCGCATAGCCATCTTTGTGAGCCTTCTGGGATTCGTCCTAGGCGGAGGCGAACTGACGGCAGAGCGTGCCTTCTGCGTCACTGCCTTCTACAACATCCTAAGGCGAACTGTGAGCAAGTTCTTTCCGAGTGGAATGTCGCAGTTTGCTGAACTTTTGGTCTCAATGCGTCGCATAACTGACTTTATGATGCGGGAGGAAGCAAATGTAATAGATATGTCGGAGCGAAAAGACGAAAAAGCAGAAGAGGAGCAACATTTGCTGAAAGAAGTAGAGAAGAGGTCGTACCCCGTTGGAATTGGCAAGGAACCAGATACCTTAGTGGAAATCAAAGCCCTAAGAGCGCGCTGGAGCCAGGAGCAACTTGATCCTGTGTTAAACAACGTCAACATGTCGCTGCGCCGCGGCCAACTGGTAGCTGTGATTGGACCCGTGGGATCGGGTAAATCAAGCCTCATTCAGGCTATCCTAGGAGAGCTACCGCCTGAATCAGGATCGGTACAAGTCTCCGGCAAGTACTCCTACGCCTCCCAGGAGCCCTGGCTTTTCAATGCATCTGTTCGCGACAATATTCTCTTTGGCTTGCCCATGGACAAGCAGCGCTATCGAACTGTTCTGAAGCGGTGTGCCCTAGAGCGGGACTTGGAGTTGTTGCACGGTGATCGAACCATCGTGGGTGAGCGCGGAGCCTCACTGTCCGGTGGACAGCGAGCGAGAATATGTTTGGCTAGAGCTGTCTACCGCAGGGCGGATGTATACCTTTTGGACGATCCCCTCAGCGCAGTGGACACGCATGTGGGTAGGCATCTGTTCGATGAATGCATGCGCGGCTTCCTGGGCAAACAGCTGGTGATACTTGTCACCCACCAGTTGCAGTTCCTGGAGGACGCCGATCTGATTGTAATTATGGACAAGGGCCACGTCTCGGCATGCGGAACCTACGAGGAGATGCTGAAGAGCGGACAGGACTTTGCCCAGCTTTTGGTGGAAAGTACTCAGAACAGTGGCGGAGGTGACGAGACCATAACGTCACCGAACTTTTCCCGCCAGAGTAGCGCTCTAAGCACTAGAAGTTCGAATGGAAGCTCATCCTCGTTAGAATCCATGGTAGAAAAGGAGAAACCAAAACTAAGTGCGGCACCGGTGCAGGAGTCCCGCAGCGGTGGTCAAATCGGCTTGTCCATGTACAAGAAATACTTTGGCGCAGGCTGTGGCCTCCTGGTTTTCGCGGTGCTGATAATGCTGTGTTTTGGCACTCAGCTCCTGGCATCTGGCGGAGATTATTTTCTTTCATACTGGTAAGTCCTTCAGATATCTCCATATATTTATGTATAGTTATTGAAACCGTTTTCAATAGGGTTAAAAACACCGCTTCTTCGTCAACGCTGGATATCTACTACTTCACTGCCATTAATGTGGGACTGGTTATTTGTGCTTTGCTCCGAACGCTGCTTTTCTTTAACATCACCATGCACTCCTCCACTGAGCTGCACAACACTATGTTCCAGGGCTTGTCTCGCACGGCTTTGTACTTCTTTCACACCAATCCCTCCGGCCGGATCCTCAATCGATTCGCCAATGACCTGGGTCAGGTGGATGAGGTGATGCCCGCCGTCATGTTGGATTGCATACAGATCTTCCTCACCCTGACGGGTATCATCTGCGTGCTGTGCGTGACCAACCCGTGGTACTTGATCAACACATTTGCAATGGTGTTAGCATTTTACTACTGGCGCGATTTTTACCTGAAGACGTCGAGGGATGTGAAGCGCCTGGAGGCGGTGGCTCGATCGCCGATGTACTCGCACTTCAGTGCCACTCTTGTTGGACTCCCCACTATCCGGGCGATGGGCGCCCAGCGCACTCTGACCGGCCAGTACGACAACTACCAGGATCTGCATAGTTCCGGCTACTACACTTTTATTTCTACCAGTCGTGCCTTCGGTTACTACCTGGATCTTTTCTGTGTGGCATACGTGATATCGGTGATACTGCACAACTTCTTCAACCCTCCTCTTCACAATGCTGGCCAAATAGGCCTGGCAATTACCCAAGCACTGGGAATGACGGGAATGGTGCAGTGGGGCATGCGTCAATCCGCGGAGCTGGAGAATGCAATGACTTCAGTTGAGCGAGTCCTGGAGTACAAAGATCTAGAGCCTGAAGGGGATTTCAACTCGCCTGCGGATAAGCAACCTCCAAAGAGTTGGCCCAAGGAGGGAAAACTGGTGACCAAGGATTTGAGCCTGAGATATGAGCCCGATCGCAATGCGGATTGCGTGCTGAAGGGGCTGAGCTTTACGATACAGCCGATGGAAAAAGTGGGCATCGTAGGACGCACAGGTGCGGGAAAGTCCTCCCTTATCAATGCACTTTTCAGACTATCCTACAATGATGGAGCCATAATTATCGACAATCTTGACACAAATGATATGGGTCTGCACGATTTACGTAGCAAGATCTCCATTATTCCACAAGAACCCGTTCTGTTCTCCGGCACAATGCGATACAACTTGGATCCCTTCGAGCAGTATCCCGATGATAAGCTTTGGAAGGCTCTTGAGGACGTTCACCTCAAGGAGGAAATTTCAGAGTTGCCCACGGGTCTGCAGAGCATCATCTCTGAGGGCGGGACCAACTTCAGCGTAGGCCAACGGCAGTTGGTCTGCTTGGCAAGGGCTATCCTGCGCGAAAATAGAATCCTCGTTATGGACGAGGCTACGGCAAATGTGGACCCTCAGACGGACGCCCTGATTCAGGCCACCATTCGAAACAAATTCAAGGACTGCACAGTACTTACGATAGCCCATCGCCTGAATACCATTATGGACTCCGACAAAGTTTTGGTGATGGATGCTGGTCAAGTCGTCGAGTTCGGTTCTCCATATGAGTTGTTGACCAAGTCAGAGGTTAAAGTGTTCCATGGAATGGTCATGCAGACAGGAAAGACGAGCTTTGATCATCTACTGAAAGTTGCAAAGAATGTAAGCACTAGAGTCGAAACTAGTTTTGTAAATATTTAACTCTTTCTCTTTTTTTTAGGCCAAACAAAACCATATTTAAAATCAATATCTACCATATTAATGTGTTAGTCTACGTAATGTTTATAGGGCTGAATTGTTAATGGATGTGGAATTTTACGGTCAATGACTAATGTTTGTAAAATACAAATCGTTTGTATTTAAAAAAGTAAGAAAAATGACAATGTGTTACATTGGCGGCTACATTGCCGCTTTTGAAGATGGAATAATTAATCCCAATATAGGTATCCGTGAATTTACCAAAATAATAGGGTTTTTATTTTAAACTTTATCTCTGCTCATACAAAACTTTATTGTGTCGTCTTGTTCGATTAAAAATAAGTTTAGGCCGACTCCAGCGAACGGATGATGTCCGAATCTCCAGGATCGGTGATGGACAGGGTGCACACGCGGAAATATTTACCGCAGGCGGTGCCCAGCTCGATGTTGGTGCCGCTGTAGTGCTGGACTTCAGTCTTGGCCAGCATGGCGTAGTACTCGATCTCGGACTTCCTGCAATGGGAAGAGCGCATGTTAGAACCCAAATACTTGCGTATGAAAGAGATGATCCATTGGTTTGAGAGTCAGAAAGAGTCTCTAGTATAATAAGGATTCGTCAAGGCATTCGGAATCAATAGGATCATCATAATTAATTCAACTAAGCAATGTCAAGCAGGTTTCTTACCCCAAGTGATGTGCCGACCCGTTGTTGGTGGAACCATTTGGAGGCGCCGCAGACTAAAGCGAACCAGTCCGAAGCTTGAGATTGATTGACTGTACTACTCCATAGTTTCCATCAACTACTCCGCTGCTCGGAATCATACTTCTCAGTCAGCTTTAAGGGCAGACTCCATATGGTTCCATCAAAAACGTGGCCACTTGGGCGCAGTGGAAAGGCACTCCGCAGGAGCACACTCATGGACATCTCACCTCAGGGCGGGGGTGTTGCTGGCGATGAGCACCAGTTTGGCCTTGCCCTGGCGCAGGGTCTTCAAGGTCTGTTTGTAGCCCAGGCAGTACTTGCCGGACTTCATCACCAGAGCCAGACGGGCATTGGTGCTCTCCAGCGCCTTCTTTTGTTTCTTAACGGCCACCATGTTGATAGTTTGGGTTAAAGCACTGCAAGCAATAAAAGTTCATTAGTCGAGTGATTCTACGGAGCCGGATGAAAAACACCCACCTTCGTCGGCTGACAATGGCAAAAAGAAAGAGGCAGAACAGCCGGAAATGGGTAGCACGTTTATATAGGTGTGACCGGCGCGGTGGGGCTAAATAATACCACGGGTCCATACCATAATATACCACACAAGCTTTATAAATACCACTTAGTGAGTGCACACTCCACAATTAGCCTGGACTCGCACCAAAGCTGCTAGCCTATACAACCTCCCAACGGAAAGAGATTGGCAAGGCGGTTTTCGACTTCGAATATTTGAAGCTGCCAACCTTCTTGAAGATTATGGGTGGGCGTGAAATTTGAAATGCTTAAAATCGTGATAATGTGTAAAGCAAAAGTGTATACTGAAATTACCATTATTTAAGCAACATTGCATATATGCACGTTGTTAGAAAACTTGGTCTTTTAGATCATTCACATTTCTGAATTTCACCATTGCTAAAATGTTTAGCGGAGCGCCTTAGCCAAGCACCTAAAGTGTTGACTATAACAAGTGTTTTATTTACTCTATTTCTGATAGAGCTTAAAACTCTTGACAGGTGGTGTGCGCATTAGGGTATCCAAAACCGCGAGTTTGGAGGAGATTCAGTTGCTCTGTGAGTGCACAACCCTGGATTGTCGTGTCAAGCTTTTACGTCGAATTATTGAATAAATAGTTCCGCACGGCGAACGGGTCCGCAACGCCAAATGAATTATACAACGTGGATTAGGGGGTTCCGAGGAGGGCGGGACGGAGCATTCGCACCCGCACCCGCACCCGCACCCGGACTCAGAGTCAGAGTCAGAGTCAGTCGCAGACGGCCACCGGCACGTGACGACACCACAACCCAATCCCAGACCACGGCCCACAGTCATAAAGTTGCCTGTTTGGGCGTCCTGAGCTCATCATCATCGGCTCGTTGCGTTCGTGCGCACTCGACTCGCTTCCAGACAATCTGTGGCCTGGCCCGGCTTATGAATGATGCACAGGCTGCTGGCCGGGCAGGAGTGAACTTTTCAGTTCAGGACTTCAACGCTTCGATTGTCGGGCTGTAATTCAACGCCATTTACGTGGCCACCCCACTCCGCACTCGTCGTCAGCAGCCGTGGCCGCATGCTGCCAGGAATGATTGCCGCCTGCACCTCCGTGGGTGGTGGCGCCGTGTCTGGGATCGTTACTTCTTCCACCTCCAGTTTCTCATCACTTCCGTTCCCCTGGCGACGCGTGCTGCTGCACAAATAAGGTTCGACCTTTGACATGGAGTCCGGAAATTCTTTCACTAGCCGGCTAGCTGGATGGTTGGATGCTGGGATGTCCTTCCCAATAGCCACGGGTCAGATCTGAACTCTCCCCTCAAAATTAACTCCAAGTCACTATAAAATGAAGTTGCGAAATGCCCATCGATTTGCGTTACTGCTGGTGCCCCACAGCAAAAGACTCAATTACAGGATTGACTCGCTCATTTCCCTGCGGAAATCTTACGTGATATGAAGCATTAGAAATCATAAAGTTAAAGGACAGGATTAAGATCGTTAGTTTATAATCCATAAATTTCAGTCTGCTTTTTGACCAATTGCTTGATAGCAACACACTGCAATATTTCCCAAAAAATAAGATAAAAGTCTATTCCTTACAGCCCAGAAATAAAAACCACATCTTTAAAACTGAGATCCAAATGTCTGTGTGTTTGCTTTAAGTCACCCGCATCCGGACCTAAATAATTCAGCCCCTGCCCTTTGAGTTGACCCAAATAAGGCGCCACTTCCGCTCTTGGAAGCCATGGCGTCAAGCAGTGTGCAGTCGTCCTTCGATCGGCTGGTTCAGCTGCCGGGCGTGACGGGAGCAATCCTAATCGATGGCGATGGAGTTCCAGTGCGGACCAATTTGCCAGCGGATGTGACCCGAATATACGCCGATCGGATGAGGCCGCTGGTGATCCTGGCCCGCTCCATGGTGCGTGATTTGGAGAACGGAGACGAACTGACCTATGTGCGGCTGCGCACCCGCCGCCAGGAGACGCTGGTGGCCACCGGGAACGAGCACACGATCATCCTTATCCAGGACAACCATGTGCTGGACGAATCCCGGAGGAACAGTGCGGCCTCGCGGCGCTCCTCTGGGCGCTAAGGAATTCGAGGGGTTCAGTATGCGGTCAGCACTAGGTGTCCTATGCAAGTTGCACCAGCGGGCAACGACCATGTCCTGGGTGAGAAGTCCTTGCACGGACGAGCTCACAAATCCCAAGTACAGAGCTGAAATTGTGAGCCGGGCATTGCTGTGCTGAAAAAGCACGCAAAATAAAATCCACATACAGGCGGGGTAAATTGTGTTTGCGTACCCTAATTGGGAGTCCTTTAGGCTTGGGTCAGGGGTCATGCCTCCCAATTGTTATAAATGTCAGAGGGTAATATTAAAAATTATTTCTCATTTTGGTTTTGAAATACAAATATATACTAAGCCATATATGTATACTTGCCATAACTTATCCAGCATAAGCGACAGAGAGATGATAGATATTCAGCCGTATGGTTTGAATTTGGAACCGATGGTCGTTAGTGATCCTCGTAGCTTACCACTTGGCATAGCTGGGTTGGGTATTCGGGATTCGGTCTGAGGGGAAGCGCCTCCCATGCATTCCCCTGAGTTCGTTTCGATTGCTGGCAACAACCGGCTGCCGTCACGCCATCAAGCATTCATGCCAACAGCAACAACAGAAGGGGCCGGAGTGGGTGGAAGTGGGCGCAGGACGTGAAGGAGGACCCGCAGAGCAGCCTGTCGCCTGCACACTTACACACACTCACGTGCACGCACACACCCTCAGCCAGGCACACTTACACAGCAACACGCCGGGCTTTACACGCCTCCGCACGCGTCACACGAAAGCACGAAACCAATTTAAGCACCCACATTCTCTCACCCAATTAGTCGCACACAGTTCCCTCACACCCACCCCACCCACAGCCACATCCCCGTCCACATCATGCCATGACCTCCTCCTACTCGTTCGTCCCGCCCACGCACACCCTGTCGAGCTGGTTGTCGTCCTCCTCCTCGTCCTCCTCCTCGTCCTCGTCCTCGTGCTCGTACTCGTCCTCGTCCTCGAGTCGAGCAGAGTCGAGTTGAGTCGAGTCGTTATCCTCGCGTGCGCACGCTGCATGCTTTCTGGCTGAGCCCGACTGCTGGGTATTGCTGGGTATATCGGTGCCCATGATTGCCACATGCACAATGTGCATGCGGTGCCTTACAAATTGGTTTGTTTAATCAGCCTCTCTTTCAGTAGTCGGTATATAAATCGCCTAGGAATGGTAATACTTGGTTATTCGAAAGACGTGTTTGTTCAACTGGAACTGGATGGACTGGATGTTCATTAGGTATCCCCCAGTCCGCAGGCGTCCATCTGCGTTCGCTGCTGTTGTCATTGTGCCATCATCAGCGCCATAAGTAGCAGTCAGCAGTTGCCTCCGTCAGCGGCAGCAAGTTGTGCCGCCTGGTGGAGCGAGGAGGTTGTGCGCAGCCACAGAAATACCAACAGCATAGAGTGTGTGTGCCACTGGGAGTGCGGACTACGGACTAGGGAGGGAGGGCGCACGAAGGACTACGGACTACGGACTACGGCCTGGGGACTACGGACTGTGGACGGGGACGACCAACAAGCGACACGATAATCTCGCACGTCGCATTTTTAGTTGCTGCTGCTGCTGGCACAGTCGTTACTGCTGCTGTGTAAAACGTACTTGTTGTTGCCGTCGGGCTGCCACACCCACGCCCACACCCACCCCGCCCGAGTCCCCCGCCCACCGCTCGAGTCCTGGAGTCTGGTCCTGGCAGAAAGCCAAATGTGGCAAGTGGCTGATGTTGCTGCCGTGCCACTGCCGTTCCCCGCCGCTGTTCGCCTCCGTCGTAGTCGATGTTGCTGCTGTGCTGGCTCAGCGGATGAGGGGCGGGCTGGGACGCGGAGTGGTATTTGCCAGGACTTCGCTGCGATGTGGAATTTTGTGTCTGCGTCAAGCTGCCTCCGTCCAATGTGGGCGACGAGGGGCGAGCGACCGACAAATGCTTTCGAATTGCCATGACAATCAAACCGCTTACACGTACAGTGGGGCAAATTGACTTGTTTTGGGCGGAAAGCTTGTGGAGTGGACAGGTTATATAAACACACGGAGTAGTAAACGTCGTTCAATTCTGTGCGGCAAAGAATGCTGTGCCACTGAACAAACTATTGGCCCTTGCCCTATATTTTGTTTAA